TGCCCCCAGGTGCCTTGGAACCAGCCCTGGGGGAGGCTGCCGAGCAGCACGGCACAGCCCCGGGGCCGACCCCATCCTCACCGGAGTCCCTCGGGCCACCGTGACTCCAGGAGGCTCGGCCCGTGCCCGCCACACCCTGGGCTGCTTTCAGAAACTGGCTTGGAAAATCCAGGTGCCCACACCCACATCTAGGCCCCCTGGGGTCCCCAGATCTTCCTGGGCATGGTGGCTATTTCACTGGAAGATTCCGGAATCTAGTGAGTATTAAACTGTTCTCCACTTTTTAGGAAGTTGCCTCTTTTCCGCTTGTGCGCGGCACACACACCTCTGTCTCCCGGCAGAGCTCCCACGAGGAAGCTTCCGGTCCCTTCGGCAGGAAGCCGCCCCTCTGTTCGCCTCGTGGGTGGCACAGCCGAGGAGACGCCTTCGGTGTTCGAGACGCTGGGTGCAGGCTGTACTCCCAGGGGTGTCCAGCCCGGGAAGAGGCCTCCGCCACATCCAGAGCACTGGTCTCTCCGCCTCCCTAATGGGACCGTGATAACATCCAACGAGAACGAGATTTCACCTTGGCTGCAGGCCAAATGGAGAAGTCCTCCTAATACGCTGTAAACAGACCCGGAGCCCAGACTAATGCTCGGCTCTCTGGTCTGTTTCTCACAGCAAAATAGGTTAATGCAATTAACTGGAAGAAACAAGACAGAAGCTCGCTCGGCTCCCGAGCCCCTGACACAGGGAAGGAGAGGCCATGCCTCCAGGGGTCCGCAGAGCATTGAAGGGAGCCAGGCAGGCTCTTCTGGAGGGGCTGGTGGGGGTGGGGAAGCGGCCACAGAGAACAGAGTGCCCCCCTCTCCCCCCCAAGGCAGCCCCAAGTCGGCTCCAAATATTGAAGCGGAAAAGTGATCTTGTCAGATCTTCTGGTTTGTAAGAGAAAGCAGAACATCAGATTCTTAAATAAAATTCGTTATTGTTTACAATACTACACAGGTCCAACGAACCACGTCCTCAGGGCGCCGCACCCCAAGCCAGGCACTGAGACGAGCCAGCCCCTGCTCCCAGCAGAGGGAGCCAGGATTTGGACTCTGGAGCCCCGAGTCTGACCCAGGCAGCCCTGGGTAAGAGCCACCGACAAGAAGGTACATTCTGTGTTGTTGCTGTTTTTTAAAGATTTTATTCATTTACTTCAAGGGAAAGGTGAAGAGAGGGAGAAAGAGTGGGAAAGAAACATCAATGCGTGGTTGCCTCTCATGCGCCCCCTACTGGGGGCCTGGCCCAAAACCCAGGCATGTGCCCTGACTGGGAATCGAACCCGTGGCCCTTTGGTTTGCAGGCCGGCACTCAGGCCACCGAGCCGCCCCAGCCAGGGCACATTCCATGTTTTAAAGACCCCTCTGATGACCTCCAAGGAAGCGAAACTTTCTTCAGGAAGGGGTGTCCAAAGTGACCACGATCACAGAGCCACAGGCCAGTGGATGCGTGTGTTTTGGAGTAAATGTGAGATACGGTCTCTGCCGCCTTCCACAATGGCTCCCCCAGTGGGTTCGCCCCTAGTGACGCCACCGTCCGGGTCAGGTGACCTGGGAAGAAAGGCTGGTTGGCACAAGTTGCAGGTAGTAAGGTCACGAAGAACCTTCCTGAGAACACGGATCCCACCTTGGAGGAAACAGGGACCAAGGGGACTCAGCCGTGAGGGACCGAGGGGGCCATGAGGTCGTTGGGCTGACCCGGGGAGACGGCTGGGAGCTGGGCCTTCGCTCCCCAAACCCCCTCCTCCTCCCTCCAACACACACCCTCCCGTGCTCCTTGCAGGCCCCACCTCAGCACCCCTCCCGCCGAGAGGAGGCTGCGCCCAGCGGCCCGGGACGGCAGGAAGGACCAATAACAGGAGAAACTACTCTCCAGGAACACGGGCAGCAGGGATGCAATAACAGTGGGCGTCTGAGGCAGGGTTTAAACAAGGGGATGCAATCAGAATGCTTTTGACACAGCAGGGCTTGCTTTGCCCTCCCTGGATTTCTGAATCAGTTAAATAGCACTCAGGGTTCAAATTCCCCACACGCCCTGGAGTAGCGGCGTGACACCAAATCGAGCAGCGGAGAAGGGGCGCTTCCGCACCGCAGCCGCCAGAACGCCACCCTCTCCCTGCAGTCCTCACTCAGCCCTCTGCTGGCCTCCCCTCTCCAAAAAGGTCTAGGTGCCAAGGGGTTGTATGTCCCAGGCCCCCCTGGACGCCCGCGTTAAACTGTTTGCAGCCGACAAAGCTGCGATCTGGGGACTCGGAAACGAAGGTGACTGGTGAACGGGGTGAAGAACGTGGTGGCCTCCACCGCCCCCCTTCCACACAGCCGGAGTCAATTGCACAGGGAAGCAGCCCCCAGCGGTTCCATGGCGCACAAGTGGCCGGGAAGCGGCTGCTAGGCAACCGGGGCTTGCGGTGGGGAGCGGGAGGGGCACGGGGCAGGGACCTGATTTCTCCCCTTCTTCCCCAGTGGAAGGAAAATGGTTTCTTTTTTCGGTTCTGGAAGAATCCCCTTAAAGCGACAAGCTTAAGAGAATGAAAACCAACCTCTCCTTTGGAGACGTGCGCCAGGGAAACGAATGTGGGACAGAGGGTGGGAAAATGGGTTTCCAGAACCTTCCGAATCAGCTCCCAAGTTGCAGTCCAGGCAAACTCGATGGCTTCTCAGGGCTTCATCCTGATGACCGGTCTGGGAACAGGGGAGTCACTCCTGAGGACCCCACCTGACCCTGGGCATCGGCCCAGAGCCACGGGGCTGTGCCCTCCGTGTTCCGAAAGCGCGCGTCCTTCTAAAACATCTGTTTCCTCTTCAGTCCCGGCAAAGCGAGCATCAGCGCGGCCTTGAGCACAAGCTGCGTGGCCGCCGTTTCCCAGGGCACAGTGTCCTCTTCCGGCTCCAGAGGGCTCAGAGCTCAGGGAACGAGTGACAGGTCTCCGACACGGCCTTGTTACGTTGTAGGGACCGCCTTCCCAGAAGTGCTTCCAGGTGCCGGGCTCTTGGGGGCACCTTGCCCACGGACACTCGCCCACGGCGCCCACCTCCCGCCCCTGTGGTGGTGGCTGCTGCTACGGTCACGTCTGGTGCAGTGGTGGGGAAAGAGGGGCCCCCGGGTCAGGTGCGCTGCCCGCGGCCTCCGGCCAGAACGTGGAACCCGAGCGGCTGGTGGCGGGCCGTGTGGCCCCCAGTGTGCTTGTGTGTGTGACGAAGAACCCAGGGAAACAGCGATTCCTTCCGGCCCACCGGGTCCCCGGCTGAAACACCTTAGAGCGGTGACGGGCGCCGGCCCCTCTACGCTCGGCCCGTGAGCCTCACCGGCGCTTCTGAAGGGCAGTCCCGGATGAGTGCACACGGGGAGGCCGGCGGGCGGGGCTCTGGAACTTTCTAACTTGCTGGCTATGCCCCTGGCTCCCGGTTTTCTGTCTTTACTTCTAAATCGAGGGCCGATCTCATTTTGGGGTGGAATGACGCAAAACCGAGAGTGCGGAGGGCCACGGTAGAGACAGAAAGACTCCAGGTGGGCACGTTCCCCGTCAAGGGCAGAAGGAAGACACCCGGCCCTTCTATCTAAATAGTTGCAGGTTCGATCCCCAGACGGGCCCGTTTGAGAACCGATCAAGGAGAGCATGGATAAGTGGAACGGCAGATTGTAGAGCTGCAAAGGAAGACACTTTGAGAAAGTCACCGACACACCGACTGGAGCTTATCCCTCCGCCCACAACACTGGGGCAGGGCCGGGCTGACCGCTGGGACCACGGATGCCCACAGGATGGGAGGACGCGACCTCTTCTAAAAGGTGGGATTTCACAAGGTCGTCAAACATGATGCCGTAAAAATCCCCCACCACACCCCAAAAACACCGTCCAAGGAGGGTCTGCAGCGGTCAATCTATTCGAACGGGAAAACTCTGATGACAACAAGCAACCCAGGGAGAAGGACGCAAATCCGAAGGAGTGAAAAACGCCCGGAGAACCCACGGCGCCCTCGCCCTGCCCTTTGTGAAACCGCAGTCGCCCCCCAGACGCCGGTTCTCACAGTCGCCCCCCAGAACACTCCCCGAAACTGCACGCTGCCAACACCGGCTATGGGGCTCCGTGGCCACTCCTCCTCCGCGTGATTAATTTTTATTCTGAAACGCACCGAGCACAGCTGCGATCCTAACCTAAGTCCTTCTTAACGATACCAGAAAGAAAAAAAAAACACCACCGACTTTTATCGTCTTTCTCTTTGGAACAAATCTCAATCAAATAATCTTTTCCATGATTATGAGGTTCTGGTCCCCATTTTAAGAGGACTTGATTCAAGTGGCTCCCCCTCCCCCTCGTATTAATTATTCTCAGATAAGAGGCCCTTCCGCACCAAACTTCAGACTCATCCGTTGCAGGAACGACAGGGTCTCGCCACGAGAACTCCGCTCAATCTGCAGAGCCCGCGGTGCTGGCGGGAGGCGCGTTACTCTGCTGTTGACGAGTTTTCGTTTCTTTCTCTCGCTTTGTGAGATGGAATACCTCTGCTGAACGACCTTCTGTCCGGCAGGTTCCTTAGATCATTGCCAAACTCTCCCCCCGAACCTGGGTTTTCCCAGCAACACTTAGCCGCACCGCCAGCTGTGCAGAAGGGCCTGACCCCGGGCTTGTGCCGCTCGGCCTGCCCGTCAGCCTGGAGCCCCTGCCCACGGGCCTTCTGTCCTGCACGCCATGGCTGCGTATCTTCCAGACACTTCAGAGTTCCAGAAAAGCCACGCCCCTCTCAAGTCCGAGGGCAACTCAAGATCGAAAGAGAGCGATTAGTCTCATCTCACCTCCCCTTCCCTCACCCCCGGCACACAGATAAGCCTGTGGGCAGGTGAGTGATTTCGCTTCCACCTGAAGGAGGCGACCCCCAAAGGCTGGGAACATCGACTCTTCCGCAATACACGCCCCCGAGCGTCCAGTCCCGTCCCTCACGAGGCAGCCACGCCTCCCGTGGGCCACTCAGGGCACCTACCTCAAGATGAAGAGGTCCACGGTGGCGTTGCTGGCGACAGTGACGTAGGCCGTCACCACGTCCCCTTGTTTGACTGGACGGGAGGGCAGCCAGATGGCCACATTGCCGTCCAGACGCAGCTCGCTGAGCTGGTCACTGCTGTCCGGGGCCTGGTGCAGGCCCACAGTGCCGACCCTCTGCAGGTGGGACACGCCGTCCTCCAGGCCGCCCTTCCCTGGGCGGATGGCGTTGCCCTTCCTGATGTCCCCGCCGGCGCAGTCCCCGTGCGCGTCACCCGCGTGCACGGCATAGTACAGCTCCACGGCGCTGCCCTCAGCCGCGGGCCCCGGCTTCCTCCGGCCGGCCACCACCGTGGGGGCGCTGAACCAGCCGGCCAGCAGCCGCAGCTCGGCCACGCACAGCCCCAGCTCGCCCTGCGGCCGGCAGCCGCCCCGCACCGCCCGCGTCTCCCGGAAGGCGAACACGCTCAGGCAAGGCAGCCGCTCCTCCTCGGGGCTGCGCTCGGCCCAGTCTCGGCCCACGACCTGGAACAGGACCTGCACAGTGGGCTGGGACGGGTAGACGCTGTCCTGAAGCACGTGGGCCTTCAGCGTCCAGTCGAAACCAAACTTATCGGTCGGGCCCAGAGAGTTCGAGGTGGACGTCGAGTCCAGAGGCACGGCCTTCTCCACCGAGAAAGGACCATAGCTGGCGTTCAGCAGCGGGGGCCTCCGGGCTCTGTAGGTGAAGAAGGGCTCCGCCCTGGACCGCAGGCTGCAGTTGCGTGAGAAGTCCCGGCGGGCCTCCCGCAGGAAGAAGGCGGTCTCTGCCCCCAGGACGCGGTAGCTCACGGGCAGGTAGGGGGGCAGCGAGGAGAACCGCTGGCTGCCGTCGGGGGCCCCGCGGGCCTCTAACACTGCAGGGGGCAGAGAAAGACAGAGAAAAGGGGGGTGACCGCTGGGCTCCTTAGACGTCTTAGGTGGTCCACCAGCTTTTTAGAAACAAGGACACACTTTCCGATGTCCACGTGCCTACAGCTTTCATAATCCTTCTGGAGTCAGCCGCTAAGGGGCTCCCCAAATCTCACACCTGTGTTAGGGTGACACCCAGGAAACTGAGATTGCTGCCGGCTAAGGATCCCTGCGTGGTGGTAATTTCGCACGGTTTGACCTAAGAGAACAGGGGCCAGGATCCAATGGGAGTGAGGTGAGTACGTTCATTCACAAATTGTGAGCTGAGCACCTTTCTAATGGCACAGAGCGGGTGAACAGACCGAGGGGCCAGAACAGTCCCTAATTAAAGCCATGTGACCCTGGGAATGTCGTGAGCGAATAAATAGCTCAGGGACAACTGGCCGTCTGGGGGAAAAGGAAACACACGCACTTGAACTTGAACACACACACCTCACCGCACACGAGAACGCGCCTCGGACGGACCTGCGGGCTCCCAGAGAGGACACACACCGCGCTCTGCACCGAAAGACGGATGGGCACCTTCCCGGCCCGGGCGTGGGGAAAGCTTCTAAGTGCGGCTCCGCAGACAAACGCAATTTAAAAACGACAAGTTTGCCGGTAAATTTTTTTTAAACTCTTGCAGAGCTAACAGATAAATGAGATTTCATCAAGTCAAAAGAAAAACAGCAAATTAGGAGACAGCACCCACTGCTGAGGTACGGGCTTCACCCTGGCCTGCAGGCGGGTCCACGGCCTCCCACAGGATTTTAGTGGGTCACCGTGAGTGGGAACCACGTTTAACACCAGGGGGATCTGGGTGTCCAGCTTCCCCTGACACACCAGGGAGGAGCTGGGGGTACAAAGGCTTCACGCCTATGAAGCAAGAACAGGACGAGACCCTCAGCAGCCCACGTCGCTCAGCTACCGGTGTGACCTCCCGGTGCCATTGAGCTTGACGCCCCCAGCAGGAACTTCTGGGTGGGGAAGTCAATGGACACTGGGGGCAGAGGTCAGGGCCGAGGCAGGAAAGGCCCTGACTCCTCTTTCTTCCATCCTGTCCGTCACAGACACCGACCGCAGTACCACCGGCAGTGTCCTTGCCTTTGGGACAGTGTCCCCTCTGAAGAGCTCCCGTGAGTGGGTATGTCCCCTGCTGGGGGTTCCATCCAGGAAGGACTCGCCACACACCTAGGGCACAGGGGTCAGCGTGTCCCAGCGCTGAGTCTGCAGAGCGCAGGAGGGCCCTTCACCTTGCCCTTGTCTTTCGAGACCGGAAACCCCAACTAGCCCCAACCGGGTACTGACCGAGATGGCGCATCCCCGCCTTGCCCACGGCCCACTCGGCCCGGCGGCGGGTGGGCAGCCTCCTGTGCCCCTCCCCTGGGCGGTCCCCCGATCCTGCTCCAGGGACGCCGGCTGCAGGCTCGGAGCTGCCTTTCCTGCCGCAGCCAAAGGGACCTGGGCAGTCACAGTGGCTTCTCAAGGACACGGCATCCATCCCCGCTCTTTGCCCGGAAGCCCTCGCTCTGAGGTCCTGCCAAGGCACCACATTCCAGCAAGGGCCCGGCCGTAAAGCCTTAAAACAGTCGTTCATGATTTAAGCAACTTGTAATATTTTGTGAGAACCAGTGGACTAATTGCCACGTGAGACGCTTTTATTCTGATGTATTCACCTGTCTCCCGGAAAGCTCTTAAATCTTGACCCGTAGAATTCAGAGCCTCGTGTCTTCGGGGAGAGCAGTGGGCACAGGGCCCTCTGAAGGGACAGAGAGGGGTTGCGAAGGCCCATCTGCGTGGGGACCGTGCCATCATGGGGGTGTTTCTCAACGAGCTTTCTTCTCATGCCCTTCCTGCACAGCAGGCTTCTTCTGCTTTCTTGTCTTTTCCGAAGGAGGAAAACGCCTGCAAAACAACCTTTTGCTTTTAAGCTGAAGTGGAGTCTGTTCCCTACACAGGGAAGCTGGCGCGGCCTTGCTGTCCTCTCAGGGTTTGAAGGTCTGGGGCCATTCAAACAGGTTGTTCTTCACCCTTCGCAGGGAGCAATGGGCACTTGGGCCACACTTTCTGGCAGAACCTAGTTCTGAAGTTTTCCCGTTCGCGAGAGATCTGATTTTAGCTGGAAGAGGCAGACATTACAAAGAAGACCGTGGGGTCTGGGGCAGCGATTCTGGACGTCAAGTTCAACCATAGAGAGACCTAGAGCTGGTCTGCTCAGCAGCCATGTGATGTGGGGCAACTGTCTGTCTTGTTGGAGCTTCAGTTTCCATGGATGAGGGATGGATGGATGGATGATGGATGAGTGGGTGATCAATGGATGAACAAATAGATGATAAATGGGTAAGTGAATGGGTGATTGATGGGTGGATGGATACATACATGAGTGATGGATGGATGGATGGATGGATGGATGGATGAACAAATGACCAATGAATGAATGGACGGGTGGATAGACAGGTGGATGTAGACAGAGCCGTGGGGAGGTAGACAAGCTGGACACACAGGATATAAGAGTCGCTTTGTGGGGCGATTACACAGCGGCCCTGTTTCCCCTCCTCCCTCCACCCCCCTGGTGTGTCTGTCCCTTCACAGCCCTCCCTTCAGCAGAGAGAGCCCATGGACTCGCTCCTTGAATCCAGGCTGGCCTTGCAATTTGCTTTGGCCGACAGAAGACGGCAGCAGTGCTGACGGGCCGGTCCCGAGCCCGTTCCCCAGAGGCCTCACCACGCTCGTCCACGACCCCTCCCGTGGGCTCCTGCCGTCCCCGGAAGGAGCCGGCCCAGGCCAGCCTCCTGGGTGCGGGAGGGCACGTGGAGGGGGCAGCCGCCCCTTTCTATTGGCCACCGGCCGACAGCACGCCCGCCCGCCCGCTGTCTCCCAGCCACGGCCCGTCGTCCTCGTCGGAGCTGCTGTCAGTGGGGGGACATTGTGTCCTCCGTCAGCGGCTCCTCCTGGAGCTCAACCGTGCAGCCACTGAGGGAAACTGAGTTTCCGAGATGGAGAGATAATGAAGGCAGGAGCCGTCTCAGTGTCTCTTAGTGCCCAGAGTGACCCCGGGGGAATGACCCTTCCAGCCAAGGTCGTGCAGCACCAGGGTCACCACACTCACTTTGGGGCGTGTGCCCAGGATGGAGCTCAGGGCTGGTCTTCTCTGAGCTGTGACGGGAAGGAGGACCAGGGGGCAGGCCAGGGCGGCAAGCGGCCTGGGGAAGGGGCTTGAGGGCCTGGGAGCCTGAGCAGGGGGTTGGTGGAGAGACGGTGGGGGGCCCCAGGCGTGTGGGGAGGGAGTCAGCCTCGAAGGGGAGGCCGGGGCCAGCTCTGCCCTGAATGCGGTCAGCGGTGAGTGCCCAGCAGGGCCTGGATGGAAACACTAGGTCCTGCTCCCTCCCCCACTGGATGCGGTAAAACTAAACATCTTTGGAACAATGTGGGTGCATCCTCAGAGGGCGCTGTGCCAGGGCGCGGGGGGCTCTCACGAAGAACAGCCAAGCCAGGCGTTCTCTGCGAAGGGTGACTCTGCCCCCAGGAGATGTCCCCTGGGACCGTCTGGAGAGACTTGTGAGTCTCACGAATGGGGGAGAGGGGCCCAGACATCTACAGGGCGCAGGTCTGTGACGTGGCTGATGCCCCGCGGCATCCAGGACGGGCCCCGCCACCAGGAAGCGTCCCGCCGAGCGTCAGGGGGCCTGGGGGTTCGTCGGAGGCACAGCGGACACCAAGGAGGGGCCGTAAACGAGACACCCCGCCCAGGGGCAGGGGTTGTGTCACTGCGGTTCAGGGTGTCCCTGCCACCAGGAAAAGGCCAAAGGGGGAAGAGGTGAAGCTGTGTGCCCTGGTTGGCCCTCAGCCACAGAAAGGGGGCATCCGGCCCAAGTCTGCAAGGACGCAGACGGGCCTCGGGGGCTTCGTGCTGAGTGAGGCGTGTCCGACAGGGAAGGATGAGAACCCTGTGGTCTCTCTCACATGTGGCGTGTGAAACAGAGCCGCAAACAAACCAACACACACACACACACGCACACAGGCACAGACACAGTCAGGTTGCTGGTCACCGAGGGGAAGGGAAAGGGGAGGACAGAGAGAGTGGAGGGGTCACGTAACACCCGGCGACGGGCGAAGGCCCCACTTCGGGTGGCGAGCGCAGGAAGCCGCGGTCAGCGGGCGCGTCACGGGACGGTGCGCTTGCAACTTCAGTCACGCATTTCGGGCGACACCGCCCCAAGAAGTTTAATAAAATAAAATGAACGCACACCCCCAACGAGCTAGGCAAGGTTTTCGTCTGTGTTGGGGGTGTTTATTTATTTATTTATTTATTTATTTATTTATTTATTTATTTATTTTTACAAATACCTGAAACTCATTAAGCTTCAGAATCCTCACCTTCATCATGGAAATCTTATCAAAACCACCTGGTGTAAAGCAAGAAGCCAAAAATAAAACCCGAAAAACAAAAAACAGCATGTGGGCCGTGCCCAATAACTGCGAGACATTTCTGTCCCTGTAGTAATGATGACAATAATAATAATAAATAATAACACTAATAACTACGACAATAATAAATGGTGACAATAATTCTAATAGTGGTAATAAAAATATTAAATGCACTTATTACTTAATATACTTATAATACTTATTATTATGACCATTATTTTAATCATGTTGATATGTCATCGCTGAAAGTTTTGAAGGGCATGGGAACGTGAAAAATGGGTGTTATCCATAATTCGTGAAAAAAATTAGGTGGAAAAAAATTCTGAACTGAAGACACCGGGCCCAAGGTCCTGGTGGCAGGTGCCTCGGGTCCCGGGTCCCCCCAGAAACGCGCAGTCCCCGCAGCTTCCGTGGAACGTGAGCCGGCCTGAGGGCTGGGGAGTGTTTTTCTCTCCCCGTTTGTGATTTATTAGCGCTCACCAGACCCGGAATGCCTCTCTCTGCAAAATGTGCCTCATCGTTTCTTTTTCTTGAAACA